TGCGGACTCTAATCTGGGAGAACCGGGTTTGATTCCCCACTCCTCCACTTGCACCTGCTGATGTGACCTTGGGTCAGTCACAAGCTCTGGCACAGCTGTTCCTGAAAGAGCAGTTTGTGTCAGAGCTCTCTCAGCCTCACTCACCTCACAGGGTGTCTGTTGTGGGGAGGGGAAGGGAAAGGAGTTTGGAAGCCGCTCTGAGACTCCAAGTGAAGGGCGGGGTATAAATCCAGTCTCTTCTTCTTCTTCTCAGAATTGTTGCTTAGGCTGGCAGTAGTGATAACTTGCAGCAGCTGAGAACTGTCATCTAAAGTGGTTGACAGCTTGCAGTTTAGAGCTCTATCCTGGTAACAGCTTTCTATTGGCTAAATGGCTTTTCTTTTTGCACTGAGAACTTCAGCCCCACCAGAAAATATTGCCCCACAAGACGCGATCTGCAGACCTCTGGCAGGTGACAATGTCTGATGTCTATGATATGAAAAGCTTCACACTGGTCTTCTGCACATCACGTTGCAGCTCAACAGAAGAAAAAAGGGTGGGAGGGCGATCCGGCTGCGACATCTGTCACCCCAGTGATCGACAGGGTTGATTAGGCAGGTGTCCCCTACCTCCATCACCATTCCATGTGCATCCCTCCCGAAACTGCACGCCGGATGGAAGAGGACGGCCATCCCAGGTAGGACTGTACCATTTTTCGGTCAAGAAGAAAGGAGCAACAGGTGGAAAAGTCAGATGTACTCAGGGCCGGCCTGAGGTTTTTTTGCACCCTAGGCGGGGCTACCTTCTGGCGCCCCCCGCGCACCCAATTATGTGGTTGCCAACCTCCAGGCAGAGCCTGGAGAGAAGGATGTCCTACTTCTCTCCCCCTTTAGGCGAGCGAGGAAGAGGCGGCGAGGTTTCCGGGCACCCAAACCAAAACTCCCCACATTTGGATTTACCAAAGCCGACCCCGGGCGGAGGGGGAAGGCGAGGCGGCCTTGCGCTCCCCTTTCACGCCCCCCATGCCACGTAGCTGGAAGCAGCTATAGTACACGGGCTTCTGGCGGGGGGGAGGCACAGTTCGGCACCCCATCCAGGGCCCGGCGCTCTAGGCGAATGCCTAGTTCGCCTAGTGGGTGAGCCGGCCCTGGATGTACTCTAGAAAACAGTGTAATTTTTAGAAGTTTACCTGATACATTGTCAACAAATGCAGGTTTGAAGCCCCACTCTGCCATAGAAGCTCACTGGGTGACCTCTGGCCAGTCGTGGACTCTCCTCCCAGCCTACATGGCACTAGCCGTATGTTAGCCGCCCTGAGCCGTTTGGAAGGACGGGATATAAATCCAAAATAAATTTTTTTAAAAATACCTCACAGGGTTGTTGTGAGAATGAAATGAAAGCGAGGAGAATGCTGTAAACTGCCTCGAGTCCACACTGGGGAGAAAGGTGGGGTTTAAATTGCTGGGAGTAGCTGGTTCAGTTAATCCAGTATCCCGTCTCAGTTTGGCAGAGTGCACCTTGGCGACACGCAACGGAAGCCCTTTGCTCTCAGTGTGCTGGCGGAGTTACAAAATTACACAGCACCACTTGTCAGATTCAAGACTAATAATGGTCTAGATAGTAAAGCTTAGAGATAGGGATAGATTCGAAACTAACTACCTTAGATGGGTCTGGATGCTGAGACACATCCTGCCTCCATTGTGCCAAAGAAGAAAGCAAAGAGCTCCTTCTTTGTGTGTGTGTGAGAGAGAGAGAGAGAGGGAATGGGGACAGACGGACGGAAGGAAGGCAATTTCCCTAAGAGGTATCAGTCTACATATCAGAGGCAGAACTGCAATCAGAAAGAGACCCACAGGATTCAGGGCGATATACAACACTGAGTAAATATACAATAATTAAAACACATAAATAACAGTTAATTACAGTAAAATCAAGAAGGAGGAGGAGAAGGAGGAGGAGGAGATTGGATGTATACCCCACCCTTCACTCGGAGTCTCAGAGCAGCTTACAATCTTCTTTCCCTTCCTCACCCCACAACAGACACCCTGTGAGGTAGGTGGGGCTGAGAGAGCTTGTGACCCGAACTCCTCTAAGGACGGTTCCGGGAGCCCAATTCTGAATTATCTACAACAGTGGGCGTGGCGTGAGTTCTTGTCCAATGTATACAGAGGTCAGATTTGGCCAACGAAACGCTCCTAATTCCCAGGAATTGAGACAACACGCTAGGTTTATGAATAAATGTTGCCTTTTACTAAACAGTTCTCAAGCATACGAAAACAGATGCATACACAGATTCTCTCAAGATCCTTAGTTACAATAGTTCATAGAAAGCAATCAGCAAGGCAAATAACAAAAGCAACAGACAAGGGGGATAACACAACAGGATATCGCTTATACTTATCTGAGGTCCAAGCTGGGGAGAAATCTCCTCCTAGCAGAAAAGGGGCAGCTTAAGGATCAGCGGGTGAATTCTAAAAGCACACAAGCTGGACCGGCCAAGCCACGTGCAGGTTCCTGGGTCGCGACTCCCAGGAACACAGTAAGACTCACCTGCAGCACTTAAGTTGCAAGATAGGGGAGGGGTGGGTTAACCAGAGAAACAAAGGCTGTGTTCCTCTTTTTAAAAGCTACATTTTTGGGCTTGGCTTATGGCCATAAACCCTTAGGGTCCGTCCTCTTTGCTAAGGCTATAGGTCAAAGAGTGGTGACGTCCTAATGAGGGGAAGGGGGCAATATGCAGATATGCTACCCTAACTTCAAAGGGGGCCATGTGGCCAGGTGTGAAACTGTCGTTTCCATTGGCAACCTTTGACTTGCAGAAGATGCGCCTGGTCCATAGGCAATCAAGGTAGTTGTCTTTGTGATGCCAAAACCAGATACCAGGGAGAATTGCGTGCTTTCCCACAGTTTGCCAATGGTGGAAAAGCCTGTTGTTT